AGCCGTGGCGGCGTTGGAAAAAGAATTGGTTAAATTTTTTAAAAAAAATTAATTTGAAACTAAATTTGTAATCCCTGAACCTGGCAGTACTGAGCCAGAAGATCGCGTTGAAGACTCCAATAGCCTAGGCCCAGCAGAGAATTAACAGCTGGCTGACAACAACTGTCGGAGTAACATTTATAATTTGGCGTTACTTAACAAACAAATTATCTTAAAAGCTCCTCCAAATGCATTGTTTATGAGAGGAAAAGGTACTCGGAAAGTAGCCGGAGTGACAACAGGTGCTAACGGCAATCTAGATGGCAAAGATGCGAGCGATTCTCTTTTTCGGGAGTTGCTTGCTGATGGTAAGCTTAGCTCACTGACATATGCAGTAGCAGTTTATTATCGAAACAGATGAAGAAATCGTTGAAGGATTGGTTCTCCCGCTGTTATTGCGCGACAATAGTAATACTTCCTACTGCGTCAAGCCCGTCAATTCATTATCAAGTGTTGAATATAACCTTAAAGGAAAAATTTGCAGAACATTACATATCAGACGAAAGTTTACGTTTTTTTTCTTTCCTCTACGAGTGCTAATTACATTACCGGGGGCGCTTCGTAATAGCAGTCATGCTACTTGTACTTGTTTTATCCTGGCGACCTGAAAGCCATCATCACAAAGTTTCAATCACTGAAACACATTCAGAATTCAATAATTGATAGTATCGAGCAAGTGGAGCACGGACTTGAGGAAGAAAAACCAACAAATAGCGGAATAGCCTCAAAGGAATTGAGTGAGTTCGTTTTGTAAATTTGTTTTGTTTATAACTTACATCAGTGATAGTACCTCTACTGTGATTTGCAAAGTGTTTTAGAAATTTTCAAGATGCAAATTATGAATATCGCTGGCTCGGGAACTGAAAGAAGTGGGGGCCTGCAGTCTTCTATTTGTTATCATTCATAGTTTGTTTGGCGCTATCGGCCCGCCGATGAGAGGGACACAGTCGAATACTGACAACTGTGGGAGAGCAGAAAGTGCCAATTCAGATACCCAGCTAATCAAGCCTGTATGTGCATTAGCTGTTGTCCTGTCTGTGTTTCATCCCTGAACTGTAAACACAGACGGCAGAGCCGGCGCGAAACTTCCCTCCCTCCCACTTCTCATCGCGGCGTCATCAAATGGTTGCTAGTAAAAAATTGGGACACCATCAATAGTAGTCGCGATGCTACTAAAAATAATAGCGGCGCGCTAGGAATAGTAGTGGCAGCATTAATAAAAATGGCCGCGGTACAACCAGTAAAGGCCCCGGTATCATAATAATAGTAGGGGTACCACCAATAATAATCACTGGACCGCTAAAAACTGCTGTGGTAAAACTAAAAGTAGTTGTGGTAACACTGTTTATAATCATGGTACCACTAAAAATTGCAAACCGCTAGGAGTTTGTAAACGCTCCAAAAATTATAATCGGAGTCACTCTACAAGCTGAACAGTACTTTTCACTACAAAAACCTTCAGTTTTTAGATTTCAAAGGACAAGAAGGAAATGAGACGACTTTTCTGGAGTTCTTCAGTAAGGTGAATTGAAATCTCAGTCAAAATTTCAACCTTCGTTGCATCTCTTGTGGCTATGTTAGTTAACCAGTTAATTTTACATGTCAATATTGACACGAAACGCATATCATCAAGACCTGTGTATGTAGTTTTCAACTCAGCAATCAGAAAAGCTAGGAAGCTGGAATTTTAGCGGGAAATTTTTGCTCATGAGTGATTCGCAAATTCAAATTTAGTTCTAGCGTGCGCCTAATTTCCAATATGGACAATTGAAAATTCGATGGGAATTTATTAACTCGGAGAATAGACAAGAAAAAAGTTGATATTTGCGAGGACGTTTGAATGTGGATTTTGAATTCAGTTTTTACGTATGCATGCCTGCGTCTTGCGCGTTCATGTCTCAATGAAATTTTTGGCAAAAATTTTTTCTTGCTCGATAAAAATAACAGAATGGCGGATAACATACATCTCAAGATAATAATTTCTAATACAGCTACACGGTGATTTAGTAAGTTTCGGTAATTTCACTAAAAGATATTCATGTCAATTGTCCGGTGACTGCTTGTCCACTTACCTTACATCAAAGAAACAACGACAGTTTTTCTAGGCCTTTTTTAAAACTATCTAATGATGTTTCCGGCAAACCCTATGTTCCGACTTGGCCACCGTTTTTCCAGATAGTATGATTGTTATAGTTTTTAAGGTATACAAGATATTGTTGCCAGGCGCAGTATCAGGAATCATTATTTTGACCATAATGATTACTGTGGAAATCTATACTTATGGACAGTACCAATGGGCAAAGAATAGGCCGAACAAGGTGGTTCTTACGAGACAATTCCTAAAAGCCTTAAGACAGCAGCACAGACTAGCTGAACAACAAGGTTCGTTAAGTTTATTCATCCTCCTCTTTTTAAAGTTGTTTTTTTTTTGTTAGAACTGTTGCTTCAAATCTTCACCATCTTTTGCTCCCCAGTAGCAGTACTGAG